TTCTCCATGCAATAAGGGCATGACAACTTCCCATGTGTGCTCCATCCAAATAACATGCCATAACCTGGAAAATCACTTATAGTCCATAGCAATGCAGCTTTCATGATAAAATTCTGTTGTCTGAAACTATCATAAGTTTCAACCCCATTTATCCACAATTCCTTAAGTTCATCAATTAATGGCCTAAGCATGACATCAATGTTTTTTCCTGGACTTTTAGGTCCAGCAATTATCATGGCAAGAAATATATGCTCTGACTTCATACACAATTCAGAAGGAAGGTTGTACACTATAAGAAAAACAGGCCAACAAGAATAAGGCGTTGCAGAGCAACCAAATGGATTGAAACCATCTGTACAAAGGCCAAGTCTAACATTTCTAGGTTCATCAGCAAATGTTGGGTGGGTTTCATCAAAGTGTTTCCATGCCTCACTAGCCGCAGGATGAATAAATTCATCCGCATCCTCACGGCATTTCAAATGCCATGTCATGTGCTCTGCTGTTTTTCTAGACATGTATAGTCGCTGCAATCTTGGGGTAATTAGAAGGTACCACAAAGATTTCCTTGGAACATCTTTCTGCCTTATAGCAGACATATTCCTTGGCTCATAACGAGATTCTCCACATATTGGACAAGCAGTTAAATTCTTACTTTGCTCATCATATGTCACGCCCCAGAACCCAAATCCGGGGACGTGGCAAACGCCGTGCACTCGTGAGACAAGTCCCACAAATGCACAAGGCTCGGAACTTATCACACCACAATCTGATACCATCAAAATCTGAAGATCAAATTATAAAATCTCTCTGATATCATAAATCTCCAATAAAATCTCCAAATACAAGATCATGATTTATTTCTAAATCTATGCTCAATCTCGAAATGGCTAGCTTTCTAACTCGTCACTTCCCGTGGTTTCCCCGTCCTCGGCTTCGCTTCCTTAAATGGTGGACAAGGAAAAACTATGAGATAAACTCAGTAAGTAAAATATGGAGTGCCCTTAATTAAACTTGTAGCATGCCAACAAGTACAATCACAAAAACAGATACGGTACGGGAACGAAATAGACGTCTCCTCTATAGGTCATGGCCAGTGTTTAAACCTCCCACTGGCAGGCAACAGGAATTACTAGTGTTTAACTCCCACTAGCAAGATTACAGAAATGAACCGGTTCTATCAGGAACATATCGACATGTGCCGACATGTGCTGGCGTTTAACCCCCACTAGCAGGGTTACAAGAACATAACCACATCGGAGACAAAACAGGCTGAAGTTAACAGAAAAACATAATTTACCAATCACTTTCAGATCATCAGGACAATCATTAAATTTCAAGTAGGCATGCTCAATTTAATGAAAAGCATAAGACATTTCACTTCAAATCAGTCATGCTCGTGTAAAACGGGTTTAGTCCCGCCACCACTTTAAAAACAAATCAAAACATGTTTTTAAAAACAGTACAGGCATTACCATAAATTTACTTACCTCACTCACATAAAACCGAAGATTCAATCTCGGTGCTAACTGACAGAACGATCAAGAACCTAATCAAAATATCCAGAATTAATTATCGCACTATCATAAATTCAAACTGAAATCATCATTAAGACTCCTTAATCACGATACTAATTCCTATCAATCTCCACATAATCAAATATCTCCAAATTCGTTCTTTATCTCACAAACTAATCATTTAAATCCCCGTTAATTGTTGGCCCTCGGTCTGTGAACAGTACCCGTGAACAGTACCACAAACAGTAACTGCACTTCCAAAATTGGCCAAAACACTAGCTAATTTCACGGGATTTTCTCTCCAAAAATCACAACAGTCCATTAACACTCAATCATATAAATTCCACTTGAATCAAGCTAAATCATGGTCTAATTACTATCAATTTCATCCCCATTTTCTAGCCAAATTCAGACATCACAAAGCAGCCACTAATCAACCAATTTTCGAGAATTAGAGAAGCCAACCTACCATAAATTTTCCAGTTGCAGAACCGGACTTGGCAGGGGGAGAAGCCGGCGGCAAGTGCAGGGGAAGCTCACGGGAACTACACAAAATTGAAGGAAATAAGAGCAATCAAGTTAACCCAAGCCAATTCAAGAAAGAAAAAAGGAATTAGGGGCTGTTCTTACCGAAAAATCAAAGCAATTTGCCCCCACAAAGCAGGAGCAGCCGGCGGTGAAGAGGAAGAGCAGAGCAGATCTGGATTCTCCAGCAGGGGGGAAGAATTCTGGGTTCCAAATCAGGTTCTTGGACAAGAAAGAAGGAGAAATTCCAAGCTTTCTCACCAATTTTCCAAGGCATGGCTGGGTTCCTCTTTTTTTTTTCCTTCTTTCGGGCTGCAGCAGGGAGGGTCGGGAAGAGCAGAACACGCGGGCTGGGAAGAAGAAAAGAAAGAAAGAAGGAGAGAAAAAGAAAAGAAGTTGATCCTTATCCAAAACTCTTTCACTTTTAAGTCCCTAAACTTTTGAAATATTCACATTAGGCCCCAAAACAATCTTTTCTCACAATCAAGTCCCTAACTTACTTATTTATCCTAGAAATTTTTGGGGTATCACATCATAGTACAAGAAACAATCATTGACACAAATATCAATTTTCTTGTACCCAAGTCCAAGCACATTTATCATTTTTCTTGCACTATAGAAATCCTTTGACACCTTTTCTTGGTCCTCTGGACTCAACAACTTTCAACTCAATGACAATGCCATTTGCCAATTAGCAGCACTCATATTATAAAGAGTTTTCATATTTAGCATTTCTGCCATCCATGAAAGTACTGTAACATCTTGTCCCCCAGCACCTATATGGACTTCTGCAGCATGCAAGAGATCATAAAATTCTCTTGCCTTACTATTTGACTCCTCAGCCATTGGCCCGTCATTGTATTCAGACTGTGCACCCGCTGCATCAACTACCATTTCATGGTATAATGCATCTACCTCATTTCTAATAAACTCCATATTAGAAGATTCTCCTTCAAAGTTTCTTACTGTATTACTAGATGTCTCCCCATGAACATACCATGTATAATAGTTATTCATAAACCCATGCTTACACAAATGCACAGAGACGACCTCAGGATTCCCCCATTTTCTACATTTACATTTCGAACAAGGACACTTAATCTCTGATTTTGCTTTCGGTCTTGAAAATGCAAATCTCACAAAAAATTGCACCCC